TTTTTTTTTTTTTTTTAGAGGACATTTCAGAATATCGCGATATATATCGTATATCGCGATATAGTCAGTAAATATCGCGATATCATTTAGAGACCATATCGCCCAGCCCTAGTTTGAGGTGCATCTGTTTGGCTATTAAATGTGCTGAAGACCTTTAAAGGTCCCATGTCATGCTTTGTTGGTTATTACCCGTCCCCTTGTGTGTTATAGAATGGGAGGGATGAACCCCTCTTAATGGTCACACATGCAGAGCACACAGCACACACAGTGAAATTTGTTCTCTGCATTTAACCCATCCTAGTACCAGGAGTCTAGTACTAGGAGCAGTGGGCAGTTNTTAATGGTCACACATGCAGAGCACACAGCACACACAGTGAAATTTGTTCTCTGCATTTAACCCATCCTAGTACCAGGAGTCTAGTACTAGGAGCAGTGGCCCACTGCTCCTAGTACTAGACTCCTGGTACTAGGATGGGTTAAATGCAGAGAACAAATTTCACTGTGTGTGCTGTGTGCTCTGCATGTGTGACCATTAAGAGGGGTTCATCCCTCCCATTCTATAACACACAAGGGGACGGGTAATAACCAACAAAGCATGACATGGGACCTTTAAAGGTCTTCAGCACATTTAATAGCCAAACAGATGCACCTCAAACCCAGTTTTAACTTCCAACTTTCAGGCTTTTATCGTAGCGTCTTAAAATATGAATGAGGATCGTGAGATACTTGCTATTGTTGCATTTCTAGTAGAAATGGATCAACTAAAACATATACTCTCAAACACTGTCTTCAGGATTATGGGCTTGGAATGTCTGCGAGAGAGACCTCGTAGAGTTAGGGAACCCACTAGAATTTTTTTTTGACTACAAATGAAGATTCTGGGATTACTGTGGTTTGGTCGATGTTTTTGGCAATGTTTTGCCTGCCTGTCTGGATTTAAGCTACAAATAATTTGATTGGAATTCAGCTATAGAAAAGACTGGAGAGTGTGAGGATCTAAGGCTGGAAACTTCCTCAGCCTCACACTGTCAGTCCAGATGAGGGTTGATTGACAGCTCAGTGTGTTGTGGAGTAGCTTTGGAGACATACTGACAGCGTGACACACACAGACACACACACACACACACACACACACACACACACACACACACACACACACACACATACGCACACACGCACACACGCACACACAGTAGGAAGCTCAATCAGCTGTGAAATCCTTGCTCTCAAGGATTTATCTGGAAATGCAGTTTGTGTGTGTGTGTGTGTGTGTGTGTGTGTGTGTGTGTGTGTGTGTGTGTGTGTGTGTGTGTGTGTGTGTGTGTGTGTGTGTGTGTGTGTCACTAATTGAATTCAGAGACCTTGGCCCCGTCAGACAGCGTTCACTGTGTTGGTAACCCTGCTCTGCGTTTATCGTTATGAATCAGGCCAGCGTGTAATTGCTATTTTGACTCGGATGTCGTGGCTCAGACTTTTACAAATTCCCTTCTGCCGTACATTTTGTTCATACCTCAGGGCCTGTGCTTTTGATAATACCCACCCCATAATAATATGGGTGGGGGAACATATTGTAACATGACAAATGTGACCTTACAAACATATATTTGCATCATATGCCTCTTTGAGCTTTGAACAGATTTTATAATAATAATGCTGTGTTGCAATGATGTGTAATACAAAAAAAGCAGTAGGACAATAGCGCAATCGTGCAAAGTGTGGTGTAATAAATATTAAATCATAAATGTAACAGGTCACTTACAGAGAGTTGGTGGATATGTGACAGTATTACAGCATTAACAGTGGGCATAGATTTCCATTTGACAGTGACAAATATACATGTGACAAAGTGTGTTTTACACTGAAGTACATCATTTATGATTTGTAGGTGCACTGGGTGCTTATTGCTAAGAGAGTTATTGATTGTTTTGAAACTTTGATGCTAACTGTTCATCAGAGTGATGGTGTGTGGAAAGAAATATACTAAACAGTAATTTTGGATGTTTTATTCCCACTAGACGGTAAGAAGATGTATTTGACCAATCCCTGTAGTGTTGTGCCTTAAATGTGTTTTTTCATCCACCTTCCCATTCACAGCTGCAGAGCCAGCAGACCCATCAAAGGATCAGATGAAAGGCTGACCCAGAGAGAGCTGCTCTCAAAACATTAACATATGCTGCTGCAGCTCATGGCTACAGCCACGGTGAGGGCCAAGCAGATGGAGAACAGCCCGGAAAGGTAGCATCCTGTGTGTGTGTGTGTGTGTGTGTGTGTGTGTGTGTGTGTGTGTGTGTGTGTGTGTGTGTGTGTGTGTGTGTGGACAGTCAGGGCTTGATCCTGAGGACTTCAGCATGCCTTGAATCCCTCCATGTGTTTTATATGTGCATTTCCATACACACCTGCTACAGTGAGCCTACCTGGCTGATGTTGGCTTCCAGATGTTCTGCTTTGCATGTGTGCAACACTCTAATGTAAAAACTGGTTCTGTCACAGTCTCAAAAGTTGGCATCAACTTTGACCAAAGTATCGGTTCTCAGGACAACCTTATAACTTCTTCTTACCCATCATAAACTGTTGACGGCATTCCTTGTGGTGCAGCAGGTTGATATCACTCAAAACATGATTCAATGGGCATTGCTGCAGGATTTATAAGATGTTAGATACTAAACAAATTCCCCAAAATATATACGTCAAATGCGTTTGTAATAATAACTATTGTGATTAGCCCACATTAAGACCAATCGCTATTCAGAACACATTACGCAAAAGCAAGTTTGTGTGCGTTTCACTACTCTACCACCTGGAAGCGATGGCAGGTGTCAAAGGGGAATTTAAGATTGCCCTAACTTTCGGGGCCTCCAGTGCCCGACGTGAGAAGTGGTTTATAAAGCCTTGACACATTTTTTTTTAGCGATTACCAACGGGGCGACAGAGCTGAATCAGCGTAAAGTTCCCCTGATTCAACTCCTTGGGGTTAAAATGCTGGGATGACTTGCGACAAGTCGCTGAGATGTCATGCAACAGGGAAACGGACGACGTCTCCAGCGTTATTAGCATCACGCAGTGAGTAGCCTATTTCCATATTAGTTCAATCGCTTTCTGCTAAGTGTGTAATGGGGTACCGTGTCTGTGTTGTGTGCATGTGTTTGCTGCTGTGTTCAGCTATGTAGGGCCCAAGCAAAGCTGTTATTGTTATGCCTGTGCCGCGCCACCGTGCACACAATCCTGGTTGTGTGTGTGTGTGTGTGTGTGTGTG